GAAACACAAGAGTCAGGGTGGCTTCTGGGTAATACCAGATGGCTAGGCCTCAGACTGACGAAGCCTCTTGGATGAGGGGCAAAACGTTTCTTTTTAACAAAAAAACGAAGTCCAGATGACATGATTCAACCTTTTTTGTTGTTATATACCTGGATGACTGAGAAAACAAACTTTGTACTTTTTAATCAGTTTTATGAAAGATTCATCAGAGCAGAAATTATGACAGAGCCTCATATTGTTAACAGCAGAGTTGTGGGGAGAGATACGGTTTGAAAACATTGATGTTGGACTTTTGTCTTCGGAGTGGGACGAACAGAAAATCTTCATCACGCCTGTCACGTTAGATTGACATGTAACCTTTGAAAGAGAAGCTGTCAGCGCGGCAGAATGAGATGGGAGGCAGCGCTGCCACGAGTGTTTGCACGTCCGTCTTTGTGTCTACGTCTCTGTGATGGACAGAGATGTCAAGCTGTCAAAGAGGACAAAACTCTGGGGGTCCAGAGCAGATCTCTGAGAGACGGAGACAGACAAAAGGGTGGTGAGATAGCTGCGAGGACGTGACACAGGACTAAAGGTCAACTCTGTCAGTGTTGTCCTCGCTTCCTCGGTGTCAGAAAAACTTCAAATTAGGACGATGCAGTCGTCTACTTTTATTGATCATTCTGTCTTCGGGGTGGGGGGGGGGGGGGGGGGGGGGGGACAGGGAATCGTATTTTTAGTCACCCAATTGACTTTTTAAAATAAAGTTTCTATTGAATCTACTAAAAAGTCATTTTAGTTTAGTTTTACATTAAGATCTTTTTTATGTAGAGAGAAGGTAGTGTTGGAGCCCTTTTGGTTGAACTCTGAAAATAAAAATGTCACTGTAATAATGTGAGATGTCACGCCCAGAGTACGTGTTGGGAAAGACTCTCAGTTACTACCACACCAAATTTTAGATGCATATATGTAAAGGGTTGTGGCTAGTTTGGGCAATTACAAATCATGCTAAATGAATAGATATATGGGTTTTAATAGTTCTCTTTGTGTGGTGTTGTCAGTGGAGGCGCAGAGGTTAGAGAAGGTGGGCCTGTGATTGGAAGGTCGCTGGTTCGACTCCCCGGACCAACATCAAAATGTGTGTGGGAAAGGTGAAACACACACACCTGTCTCCACCCTCATTTGCCCTATTCTGGGTCCTTGAGCAAGGCCCTTAACGCCCACCATCTGCTCCCCCGGGCGCCCTATATGTCAGCTCTCTGCTCCACACAGAGGGGCTGTGGAAGCTCGGAGATCTGTGGTTGCATCAGGAAGGACATCCAGGTAAAAACGATTGCCAAGTCTTAGTGCTGACTCGCTCTATCACGGTTTTTCAATGTCAGATTGGACATGACACACAATGGCTGATTGATGGATGAGCTGCACAATTGGCATGGATTTTTTTTATTTAAAATAAATTATTTAAAATAATTTAGCACCTGTGTGCAGCCCACAGCTGTGGGAGAAGCTTCCTCCTGCAGCTGATCAGCTGATCTCTAGCGGAGAAGTGGGCGTGGCCAAGAGGGCGGCCAGAGGCGGAGAGCATGATGCCATTGACATGATGACATTCTGTGCTGTTTTATAGCATATAGAGTTTAGAAACATTGTTTATAATGTTGCAAGACTGTTG